AGCGGACGGCTAGCGCACGTTGTTGACTCTTTAATAAAGGCATCCTTAGAAAAACTGGGCTGTGGTCCGACTGTTTATTCATCATTCGTTCCTCCCGTGTCTGGTGTCAGAAGGTCGGGTCATCTGTGACGTCAGTCTGCTGCTGCTGCGATTTTATTGTTAACACATCAGGTTCAGAAACATGACACAACAGCAGGAACTTCACATAACCTTTCACATTAAAATAAAAGTAAGCTTTGAATACCACTGAACCAATCTCACAGACGTATTTGATTCTCTTTTTTTTAAATGTGGCAATAAAAATATAGCAGATTTCAGGTAAAAACACTCAGAGAAACCAAATCCTGCAAAGGTTTGGATGGTGGGTCCAGGTGGGCGGGGCTTGGTGACTGCTTTGTTGTGACATCACAAAGTTCCAGAAGTCCTGACGGCTGGTTTTAAGGCTCAGTTTCTGAATACAGGCTGTGTGCATTTCTCTGTGGACTGAGGCTTTGATACTTTCACAGTATTAATATAGAAGCTAGACCTGATCTATAATCACACTACACATGGACACAGACCTTTACACTGGAGGACCTTTAAGATATTTACAGATAACCTTCAAAATATGAGATTGTTTCGATAGGAACTCTAGTTTTCTTTTGTTTTCCGGTCGTGGACGTTGTGTAAAGTTCAGAGGTCATATTATGATTTACTACTTATACAGTTTGCTTCACCTTTAGTTAGAATCTGCTCAGAGACACGTTACGGCTGTATCCTAGTGTTTCATCCTGAGATTGACTTGACAGTGAAAAACATCAACATCTGAAGAACTTATTTTGCAGAAGATGATGAAGAGTTCAAGGTGAGTTCAGGTGGTTACATCGACCCAGTCCTTTTAACTGATGCAAACACTAAAAATGATTAATATGATTATTGATTAATGATTAATATAAAGTCACATTTTCACATTCGAGAGGAGAAATCGATTAAATCAGAGACACAACAGAAGCAGTTTAAGAAAAAAAACAAAAAAACTGCTTTGTCATATTTTTTTAAACGAACCTTTGTTCACTTTCGGTGGCAAACTGTTGCCCGTAGCAACGTCCTCCATTTGCACCCATAATTTAAAAGAATCATCCCACACGTCTGATCAAGACCCAAGACCCAAACGCCAGCAACGAGTCTACGTAGAGAAGCCATGGATCTAAATCAGCGTCAGGAAAGTCACTTTTAGCTGCAGCACTTGTTTTGTCTGCTCCCGCTCTGCTGCTCCCGGTTTATTTTTAGACGTGTTCTGAGACGAAGGCTCACACTGAGATTTAATTGACGTGCAGTCAGGTGTTTCGAGGTGCCTGACTGTTTCCCTAAGAAACCGACTCACCATAAAACTGATGGATGTGGTTTCTAAAGCCAAATATAAGCTGGATCCATGTAAAGCAGGTCAAGAGCAGTGAAGTTCCTTATGTAAGCAGTGGGAGGTCTAAGTCGAGGTTTAAATGCACTGTGCTGTGGAACTGCTCTTATTGATTTATATTCAAATGTTAAGGCCAAAAGGTTTTATAGTTCAGGCCCCTAATGGAAATCTTAATATCACTGCATACAATAATAATTTAGATAATAGTGTCAGTTTTTTACCATGACTCCTGTTTTAACATGAGTCAGCAGGAGATGACATTTCAACCAAGCTGCAGAGTTAGCATTAATTAGCTAACTATCTACAACTGATAGAATATAGCAACATTCATCATTTAAGCCGACAAAATTAACACTTGTTGGCTGTAAATAAGATGATTGAAGACACATAATTTGAAAGATTGCTATGAATTTCAAGTGGCTGTCGGAGGTCCCAATGTTCCTTTTGCACCCGGTACAAAGGATACGACAAAGTCCAATGGAACCAGCAAATTAATGATGAGCATGAAGCATGTGATGAAAGATGAAAACATGAGATCTGTGTGGAGCGATGAGGGGAAGGTAACATTCCCTGAAATGAATATGCAAAACAACAGATTTTCCTGAACGCTCCAACATATCCGGCTTGGCACTCGTGCTGCGTTCACATGCTCCGACATTCATCCGGCTTTGGTGTGTTGAAGTGCTTTTAAGTCAGCATGTGGAACATCAACATGGACGCTACAAAGATGATGTTGTGTGTAAACAACATGTTGACAGCTGTCTCCAGTATTTGTGTTAGTTATTACCAGGTTTACTGCTAATTAATAAAGTTTCTAACTACTCTAGGTCACATTACATGGTGACAGCTAACAGTTAAGACCTAATTCAATATTACAAATGAAATGTTGGCAAAAAGATGATATACAGTACAGACATTTTCACATTTAATCCAAGGTTTCTCACCATCAATCGAATATTTACTTCTGTCCTTCATGTTTCTTCGTATATGACGTCAACAACTCTGCGAGGTGTGTCCGACTTTAAGGGACGTTCACGTCAGTTTTCCCTGTCGGAAACTCATTTTTTCCTTATGATTCCATGAATGCAGAGTTACTAATACAGAAGTGGTTGAAAACTAGAGACACATGGACGCTTTCATTTTATGTAAATGTAAATAAAATAAATTATTCAACTTTTGCAACTTTCTTTGGAGTGATGTGAAAAACCCAACTGTGGTCAGAGACGAACAGCAGATAGATTTTTGGTGCTTTTGAAAAGTTTTTAATGAAAACATCTTTTGTTCAGATACAATGTCTGTTCCCTCCATTCTTTCTCTTGGATGCTTTTAGTGATTAGGTTGGTATCAGTGTTTGTGTGCATGCGTTTGGATGCATATTGGTTTAAACTGATAAAAGCTGCTCTCTTTTTGTGCTCTTTTTATTCTGTATGTGTCGAGAGCAAGAGTGCTTTTCAACAACCTGCAATATAATCTGAATGTATTATTATTTTATTCAAGGAACAGCTGAAAAGGAGAGCAAGGGAGAGGGAGATAGAGAGAGATGAGAGTTTTTGAACAAAGCCCTCGCTTGCCCGTTGTGTGGGCTGCACTGCTGAATAAAAACCAGCTTTCATCTCTCTCTCTCTCTCTTTCTCTCCCTCTACATCAACCTCCCCTCCACCAACTCAGTGTCAAGTTCTGCTATGAGACACACAGTGATCTGTGTGTGTGTGTGTGTGTGTGTGTGTGTGTGTGTGTGTGTGTGTGTGTGTGTATGCACTGCGGAATGAGAAGCTGGCTGTCCTTTTGGCAGGCAGCAGTACACTGAAGCACCTCTCAGAGAAACTGGACTATTATTGAACTACTGAGAAACACTCTTATCTCACTGTGAAACACATCGCTTCTCTCTCTCTCTCACACACACACACACACACACACTCATGGATGCAGTGAAATACATTCAAGCACACTGACACACAGTATTTTGAGGATGCATGTGCAGAGAAAAATCAGTAAAAGTCCTGCAGCAGAGTTTAGAAGAGCTGAACTGTGTGTGAAGGAGCACCTCAGGAAATGTACTGAGGTCCTCTGTTTTAATTAATATATATAAATGTATATTAATAATAATAAGCTACAAGTAATTAATATTGTCTGAAAATAGTAATAGTAAATAATAATAATTATTATTATTATGTGACCTTTTCCCTCAGTCAAAATCTTGTCAGTCCATTTCATATTTTCAAAATTGACTGCACCTTCAGTTTTGGTGAAAGTGTGGAGGGTTTCACTCCGACTGGTGAGGAGACTCATGGTTGCATCACACCAGTAGTCTTCAGTCTCCTTCACATTCTTTATTTTCTTGTTTTCAGAGGTGGAATTACTTTTAGGCTGATCAAATCTCTCTTGAAGGTAAGACACGGTGAGACACAGCAGCATGAGCACATACACATACAGGGATAATAAGCTAAGTGCAATATGGATGATGAATCTTCCCAAGTATTTCCAAGCACATGGAGATCAGGGGTCAAATGTCATGGCAAGCCATGGGACAGCCTCTATAAAGCTGTTATGGATTCAGAGAGGGATAGATAGATAGATAGATAGATAGATAGATGTGACTGCTGTGCATTTGTTTTGTAATAATGCATAACCACTGATATCTTGCTGTTTTAGGTGTGTGCATGGCTCCCTCTGTTGGATGAGACAGAAAATTGCAGGACAGCTGGTAACACCTGGCACTGATGCCAAAGATCCTCTATAGAAAAGAGGAGCCACTCAATAGCAAAGAGCTTCTCTCCTTCTGGTCTGCCGCATGTTTTAGGTTGTGGAAGCAGCATTTTTGGCTAAATTTGGCACATTCACATCACACTGATGTTAATTCATGAATGTTTGCTGTCCCTGATAAATTATAAAATAAAATAAGAAACTCTGCTATAGATAGATAGATAGATAGATAGATAGATAGATAGATAGATAGATAGATAGATAGATAGATTTATTGGAGAACACTGCTGTGACTGCAGTGTGTTGTGGAGGGGATGGTGACCTCATGTCCACTACTGTCTCAAATATCTCAAGCTTTTGACCAATGATGGTACTGTTGTTGTGAATGGATTTATTGATCCTGCTGGCATCTGTGGCACAGATGGTGCTCCCTAATGTAATGGAATATACTGAAAATGCACCAAGAGTATTGTGAAGTGTTTGTTTTGTTGAAGGAGGCCTTCCACCCACAGTTTTTAGAGTAATGGCATCACCTTCCCCAAGTGTCTCAAACTGAGTTGGTACAAATCATTTCACCATTAATGTTTTTGGGAAATAAGCAAATTAAAAACAGTGCCGCCATATTTAATAATTAAAAAGTCAACATCAGTGGAACATCAGTGCAGTTTCTTGTCATCTTGTCATCCAATTTCAATTAATTTCTCTGTTTTAACATGTTTATGAAGAAAATAAACGCGGTTCAGTTCCTGCTTGGCTGTATCATAAAATACCCGCAGAGTGATACTTTATATATTTTTCCTACTCTTTGGCCCGCCTCTGCCTTCCCATTGGCCCAGCTGCTGCCACTTCTACCTCTCTGATTGGCTCGGGGCGCGGCGTGCGTCGCGCCCAAGGCGGAAGTGAGCAGTCGCATCGCTAGTTGAGCCGCGGTGAACCAGAGGAGGATGTGAAATCAGCTAAATAACGGTTCTCCGGTTTTTTTAAAAGTAGAAAACGACATTTGAAGTGAGATAAAGAGTCAGACGGTGCCGACGACATGATTCTAGCGGTGTTCATGTCGTTGTTCTTCGTCGTTTCTCCGGTGGGAGCAGCTAAGAATGGAGGGGACGATGACTGGGTTCATCTTCCCAATAAATGTGAAGGTAACGGTTCCTGTTAGCACCGTCTTGTTTTACAAGAACAACGTCTGTGGCGTGGGTAAATGTCTCTGAGACTTCACTGTGAGGTGGTGCACAGTGACAAAAAGGCCTGAGGCTGTTCAGTATATGGACTATAACCACTGTTTACAGTCGCGGTAATCGTACATGTTAATGGTGTCCTCTAAAAGCTCCTCCTTCAGACCAGAGCAGGAATATAATGTTCAGTTTTAAGGACTAAAGCTTTCTTTCCGAAGGCTGCAACAAACTGTTATGTTTTGGTTAATCAGCCGATAGTTTTTTCGATTAATCGTTAATTGTTTGGTACATAAAATGTCAGAAAATAATGCAAAAAAATCCAAATTTATCACAATCACAATTTCCTTTAACCCGAAGTTACATTTTTGAATCGCTTGTTTTAACAGTTTAAACTGCAAAAATACTCAGTTTACTATCACATACAACAAAGACAAGGAGAACATCCTCCGTTTGCTTTCTGTTCTCTAACTTATTCATCATTGCGGCTCTAAACATAATGACAATAGGAGATAATAATAGTAATAATAATCAATGCATGACTGATATAATAGATTTAAGAGGCTGATATCCATTGTTTGCATAATACATACTCATTTTCCCACATCCCAAGGGGACGTCTTCAAATGTCTTGTGTGTCCAACCAAAGATTTTCAGTGAACTATCACAAAGAGCTGAAATGATTGGTCAATTAATCCAACAGTCCATTGATCACAGAATTAATCGGCAACTCTTTTGATAATTGATTAGTTGTTTTAGTTATTTTTCAAGCAAAAATGGTGCAGAAATTTCAAATCAGTCTTGCAGCACGCTAAAGAACATCTTAAAATCTCCACATTTAATTGACCTTTTGGCTACATACATTTCTGTCGGATCAATCAATTGATGAAACAGTTATTGCTTGCTTCAGAATAAAAACCTGCAGCTTCTCTCTCTCTCTGTGTCTCCAGTCTGTAAGTTCGTCAGTATTGAGATGAAGTCGGCGTTTGACGAGACGGGGAAGACCAAAGAGGTCATCGACAGGAACTACCGCTTCATCGACAGCAAGGGGGCGCCACCAATCAAATACGTCAAATCGTAAGTGTGTGTGTGTGTGTGTGCTTGTTGTTGTTGTTATTGTTATTGTATGTGATTGTCACAGTATACCAAAGCAGGAGATGGTTCAGTTTAGTCTCACACTAAAAACTGAACCTCCAACCTTTCTGTCTGTGGAAGGACAGTTTGCTGTATGATTCTCGATCTTTCTCTCTCTCTCTCTCTCTCTCTCTCTCTCTCTCACACACACACACACACACACACACACTGACAGAGGCAGCAGGGGACAGGAACTTGGTCTGGTTCAGTTCCTGTGGAGGAGCTTATTATAGAACAGGGAAGCTGTTGAGCTGCTATTGGTGGTGTGATAAGAGACCGCGGCCTGTGAGAGTTTCCTGGGTGTGTTTGAGTCTGGAAAGATGCTAAAACTCTCCCAAATTACCACACCTCAAAATCCGACCGAACAGGTTGTTTTTCGAGCTGCATTGTGGGTAATGTAGGTGCGAGGGTTTAACAAGGAAGTAGAATGTGTGAAATAACTATATCTCTAGTTCTGCTGCATCGATTTTTGATCAATAAGTTCTAATAATTAGTTTAACTGAGCAGTATTTCTGGCGCTGACTAGTGAGGGTATCAACATTTAATCCCTGGTCCCTGAACCAGCTACAGATCACTAGAATAAATAACACACACCTCAGCTCAGATTGCACCAGGGTCAGATCAACACAAACACAAACACGGCTCCTATCTGACTGACTGTGATCAGCTGTTGAAACTATAATGTGATGTAGTTGGAGCAGCTCTGAGTGAACTCTTCTTCTGAAACCTGCTGATGTCCTGAATCCCTCTCTGCGTCTCTCTCTGGGCAGAGACCTGAGATTCATCGAGGTTGTTGAGAATGTGTGTCAGAGGCTGCTGGAGTACAACCTGCACAAGGAAAGAACCGGCAGCAACCGCTTTGCCAAGGTCAGTCTGTGAGTGTGTGTCTGTTTTGTCTACACTCTTTCTGCTTTTACTTGACCCACATGCTGTTTACCTGCAAAGTCATTTTTTATAAGAGTTGTTCCTGTACAGTTTGTGTTCTACATGAGAACATTAAATATGTGTCTGTGTCTGCAGGGCATGTCAGAGACCTTCTCCACCCTGCATGGGTTGGTGAATAAAGGAGTGAACGTGGTGATGGATATTCCCTACGAGCTGTGGAACGAGACTTCAGCAGAGGTGGCCGACCTCAAGAAACAGGTGACATGACAAAACACTGCTGCCAACACATCTTCCAGTGTGTCTGTATCTCGCTGCACACTGCAGCAGTTTAAATACATTTCTGTATGTTTGTGTACATGTGTTAACATTATGTGTGTGTGTCTCAGTGTGATGTGTTAGTGGAGAAGTATGAGGATGTGATTGAGGACTGGTACAAAGGCAGCCAAGAGGAAGACCTGACCACTTACCTGTGTGAGAAACACGTTCTCAAAGGGCAGGACAAAGGTAACACACACACACACACACACACACACACACACACACAGAGGGCTTTCGTTTTTCCTGATTTTCCCATCATTTCCTCTTTTTTTGTCTTTTCCTACTTTCTACTTCCTTTCTTTTCCTGGCTTTTTCTTGTCTTTCTCTTCCCCTCTCTCTTTCTCTGCATTTTGCTTCCCCTTTCCCTCCATCCACTTATATTTTACCTCCTCATTTCTCTGTCCAGCCTGTCTGGATGAGGACTGGTCCCCAAAGAGGAAGGGAGAACAGGCGGCCATCGCAGAGGACAAGAAGAAGAAGAAAAAGAAGAAGGGAGGAAAGAAGGGGAAGGAAGCAGGAAATGGAGGTGACGGCAGCTCAGAGGGAGAAAAGGCAGCCAAGAAGAAGAAGGAGAAGAAAGTGAAGAAGAAGAAAAAGAGCAAAGCTCCAGTGGAGAAGACGGATGGAGGGCTGACGTCTGACGATGAGATCCAGCCGCAGGTGCCTCTGTCTGGGCAGAAGACAGAGCTGTGAGTCCTGGTCTCAGTCTGGACCTGGACCAGCTGTTGTAAACAAAAACCAAACTCTTAGTAAAAGCAGTCTGCAGCTTCTGGAAACATCTTCAGCTGTTGTTGAGATGAGGTGTTGCACTGTTACACGCGGTTTTAAAGTCTGTATTTCAGTTTCGGGCGGTCCCCAGTACATGGCAGTTCCTTGGTATGTGAGAGATCCGCCATGGCCTCAAGAATTTTAACCAGTTATCCAAAACATGAAGTCTCTATTATTTAATTCTTACCTCCATTTTAGTTGTGTAAAGGCCAATGGCTCATGGAATTCATAATCAACCCAAAGGAACTTGCAGTCACTCTTGATAACTTTACTTTGCTGAAGGGATCATTCTGGTTTATTCCACCTTGGTTGTTATTTTTGCTGTTTTTGGCCGTTGTCTCTATCCATTATGACGACATTCTACTCTCCAATGTAACTGCTGCAATATGGGAACATGGTGACGTGGATAAAATGGAAACATGGGCAGTGAGATAATCAGGGTGTAGACAGACATACAGTTTATATTGAAATCATTCTGCTGCTTAACTTAGAAAATAGACAAAAACATCTGCAGGATTAATTAATTAGTCGATCAACAGCAATCACTAATTTAGATCTTTTAAGTCATTTATCAAGCAGCCTCTCAGATGTAAGAATTTACTACTTTTCTCTGTTTTTATGTGGAGAAAAGTCATTTGAAGACATCACATCGTGCTATGCGAAGTTGCATTTTCTCTATTTGTTTTGTAGATTAAAATATTAATAAATTCATTTAGAAAATCATTAATTGCTGTCACCAACACTGGAGGACTCAAGTTCCATCCTGTGTTAGACAATAACTGCCTTTTGGTATTTGCAGATCTCCGATCATTAGGGAGAACTTGACGCCTCTGTCTTTCTTTCTTTCTTTGTCTTGTAATGAATAATGTGAATTTTTATGTGTGTGTTCATTCCATCGTTGCTGTCTTTAAAATCCTCATACTTACGGTAATTTTCATTCTGACTGAAAACTGAATTGTTTTTTTTTATAATCTGTTGTGATTGTCATTTTTATGACCTTTGGAAATGCTCGGGTTGTGTCGCCTGTGAAGGTTAACATTTCAGTTCACTGGTAATCAGAACTCTTGTACCATAATGATAAAGTGATATAGATTTACTTTTCCTTGTAATATTTTGAATATTTCTCAGTGTTTTATATCAGTAGAGGAAACTGACTGCAGAATTCATCCCTTTTAATTATCCCATGTGATGCAAAAAATATTATTACATTCTGTTGTTTTGCAGAAATGTGAATCTCAGTTTCAGTGAAATTCCCCTTTAATGAGTAAATACAACATGAGGTACTTTTTTTTTTAAATGTCAGTGATTTGTGTTGCTGTAATTTTTTAATGTTATAATTTTCCATTTATTGATTTGTGTTTCTTTGTGTATGCTGTTCAAAAGCTGCTATTTAAGATATGTGTGTGTGTGTGTGTGTGTGTGTGTGTGTGTGTGTGTGTGTGTGTGTGTGTGTGTGTGTGTGGTGTGTGTGTGTGTGTGTGTTGTGATGTGTGTGTGTGTGTGTGTGTGTGTTGGTGTGTGTTGTGTGGGTTGTGTGTTTTGGCTCCTGGGCTGAAAGGAAGGCTTTCTATGTGTTGTTTTTGCATTTTTTGAAGTGTGTGTGTGTGTGTGTTTCTACAGATTTTTATTCTGAAGTAAAAATGCTGGCTGTGTTGTATTGCTGTTGCTTTTTGAAACCACAAGCAGACACATGAGTGGATCAATAAACACAGATTTGAAAATTCTGTAAACGTGTTACAAATGATTGATCATTTGCAGGGTTCATGTACAATTTTAAAATGATGTAAAAAAAGATTTTATGAAGTTGCTTGTTATTCACAATCAGCAGTTGGATGTATTTGTTTCCCATCATTTTCTCATAGTAACTTTAATGACAATGAAAATCTCTCAATTTCTGATAATTTCTCAAACGATCTAACAATCACTACATTATCAAAACAATGTGTATTTGCTGTTACTCTGCAGTCAAATAACTGTAGGTGTAATGTATAACTTTGACCACCAGAGGGTGGCAGAGTTCTAGACTTGCTCTTTCAACACTGCTTCTAGCAGCAGTAATAGTCTTACTAGTTTAAAAAAATCATTTAAAATATTTTGTGACTTATTTTTGTCTTTTAAAAACATAAATCTTAAAAAGAGACTTTCTCAAGCAATTGAATTGTTTTTGTTGCACTTTGTCCATTATTAAATTATTGGATTTATTGTGACTCTGAGAGAAGTTTACATTCTATTATTATCCACATTTTGGATTTTTTAGAGGGAGTTATGTGAGTATTACGAATTTTGGACGGAGCCAAGCTAGCTGTTTTCCCCCAAATTCAAGTCCTGATGCTAAGCTAAGCTAACTATCTCACAGCTTCAGCTCTACACTCAACACAGAAATTTAAGGGATCAAAGCAAATGAAAAATCATATATCAAATCAATAGTTTTGGTTTGTGGCTAATTTAAACTTTAAAAGTGGGGTTCTGGGTAATTTGGAAGGTGGTGATAAGCCATAACTATAACTATAGTTAATCCACAAAATATTATCAGTTATCTTTTCACCTTGCGTAGGAAAAATATGTCTTAATTATTAAAATACATTGTAAACTGCGTTCATGCCGTTCTAGAGTGGAACGTCAACAGGCGTAGCAACCGTAACTAAGGGGGCGGGGCTTAGCGAAGGGTCAAACGTTATGGTCAAACGTCAGGAGCTCTGTCCAGAGGAACGGTAACTTTCTATTTTAGCTAGTCTAAATGGAGCTGAAGTTTACACGGCAAAGTTTATTTAGTGTAGCACAAAATGGCGTAATTAGGAGGAGAGTAAAAGTTCTAATTCTGCTGTCATTCTCAGAGAGACTTGGTCCCGCGCTTTTGTTTCGAAGTAGCGAACGTGGACTTAACGTGGCGGCAATTAAAACAACCTGCCAGCACCGACTCCTCATCAGCTGTGGAGGACGCAGAACACGAGGCGTCTGTACGGCGCTTTAACCGCCAGCAACCAGGAGAAGGACTGTTCACCACTTGTTAAGTAACCAGGTAACTAGTAAGTAACTAGTAACAAGGTGTTGAACAGACACAGACTGAACTCCTTCCCTCTTCCTCCCTTGAACTGACACTGACCGTTGGACTACCAGCTGCCTGTAATCATCAAAGGTAAGTGGGTTTTTTTGTTTGTTTTGTTTTTTTTTAGCTGTTTCTTTTTTCATGAAACTAAAAGTTATAAAAATCAATCAATGAAATTATCAACAGAAAATCAATTAAACTGGTATTTATCAAGCTCAAATTTTTTGTGATTTATGAAATATATATATTATTAATATTATTAATACTATTTTAGATTATGGACCCACCAAAAACCTACCCATTAACTAGACCAGCATGTTGCTACACCTTTTCTCCTCTGCTCTCTCCCGCTCTCTTTTCTTAGGTTGGTGGTTTCTTCCTCTCTCTCCCTCGGCCTTGAAAGCAGGTTTCTTTTTCTTGTGTTATCATCATTATCTTTGTCCCTGTCCTTGTTTCCGTGAGGGTCAGAGGAAAAGTAGTGGTGGCATCATCAAACATGTGAGTTTCAGTGCTGCTGCTGGTTTCAGTGGATACAACAAAAAATGAGTTTGACTCATGTCATTGCGTTTGTGTATTTGGTTTTGTTGTTCGTGTGTGCAGCTCATTGAATACGTCAAATTGATGAAGATGTTTTCTGAAATATTTTTTTTTGGTCTATTTGCATGTGTTAAGGATTAACTGATGATCATTATTGATTATAATTGACGTAAACTGAATTGTTTAAAAAGATTGAGAACGGGTTGAAGGACTTCTGGGACTTGAAATAGGCTTTAGAAATCGTCAGTCATTGTATTGGTCACCTCTAAGTTTGTGATGATGTGTGGTATTAGTATTTTTGGTTTTAAATGTTGAAGTTTGTCTTTTAAAATAATAGAAAAGAAAAATCTCAAGTGAAAATAACCAACCGGTGGTTACAGCCCTAATATATGTTTTCTAATGTCAAAATATCTGCCATGTAAAAGTCTGACAAAGGAACATTTTGATAATTTTGTCATTTTTATCCTCAAATTTCTTAATTTGAGCACGAATTAACAAAAAAGAAAAACTTCTTTCATCCTTGAGGATGTCACTGAAGATGATGTAACACACACACCTGGACAGGCTGAACAAACCAGGTGGTTTCCATGCAATACCTCATTGTAACTGTAGATGTCACCCCATCACTGACTGTGGCGGTGGCAGCCTGTGCTTCACCTTGCACTGAACTGACCAACAGCCAAATCCACTTAAGCTGAGACAAAATGAAATGGCCTTGTGTGTGTGTGTGTCTGTGTGTGTGTGTGTGTTTCCAAAGTAAATTCAATCCATCAGCCTTTTTCTCCTTTCAACAATCAAATCCACACACTTTTATATTTGTGTGTGTGTGTGTGTGTGTGTGTGTGGGACTGAGATACCAGTTATCCCTTGACAGGTTTGTGTGTGTTCATGTAGTGAATTGAATAACATTTATCCACCTTTAAAATATGTATTTTGTCTGTATATGTGTGTGTATTCATGTCGCCTGTGTGTGTGTGTGTGTGTGTGTGTGTGTGTGTGTGTGTGTGTGTGTGTGTTTGTGTGTGCGTGTGAGGTGTTAGATGTGTTTATTTGTTGAATAATTCACAGCTGGGTGTTTATAGAAGACTCTGTGGCCTCAGCGCTGCAATAACACAGGACAAATATTGTCACACACACACACACACACTTTATCAGCCATTCCAGGGTTGACAGTTTATTTGGACACTGTGGACGGTGGAAATGGAATGTACAGAGACCAAATGTGGGCACACACACACACACACACACACACACACACACACACACACACACGTACACACACGCAGACACACACATTTATGTTACCCATGGAGACCCTTCAGTGCCTTCATATGTTCCATATCTTTTCCTATCTCTGCGAGGACCATTGTTTTTTTCTTTCATGATTTAGAACGACATAATGTGCCGTTTCCGATTCTCCACACACTTTAATTCAGGTGATAATCCGCCTGTGCACATACCTGTTACCTCCTTAACTCACCTCATTTGTACGTGCTGTCAATTTGGGTAGCCATGTTTGATCTGGACCATCCCCTCCTAATAACACACACAGGAAGTGGCACGGCTAGCGGACAGTTTTCCTGATTGTTTAGCGGCAGTTTGGTTTGTAGTGATATCCTGCAGCTGGTGTGCACGGAGGAGTGTAATCTCAAATTCAGATTTTAAAGTTCGTCCCTGCAGAAGATGATCATCCACTTTGTTTACGCTGACTGCAGATGCTGTCTTCTTCAGAGGAAACAGCCAACTAACTTATGATGACAGCAGTATATGGCGAATAGCCAATCAAATCACAGTGGGGCAGCAGACAGTCAGCCCACATGGCATCTAATTTGTGAGATCTGCCAAAGGCTTTGTGCGTGTGTTGTTGTTTTCCCACACTTGGGCACCTGACATCGGGAGCTGTTTCCACATAGAGGCCTCTGCTCTGAGTCAAGTGCAGTTATTAACACTATGTTAACACTATTCAATAAACCACAGACCTTAAATTGAAGCATAATAATAAATAACAACAACAGCTAAAGATTTATTTAATTCAGAATTACATTAATTCCTTTTTTTTTTTTCCACCAGTGAGGACATGGGTTCTCAAATAGACCAAACACACACACACACACACACACACACACACACACACACACACACACTCAGTGACAGTGTTGTGGACGGTGACTGATTGGTGATGGAACAGAGAGAAACAGTCTCCTCTAATCTGGAGAAAATGAAACAGACGTTTGAATGGAAATATTGATTCTTCCTCCCATTTCAATCTTCATCTCTCTCTCTCTCTCTCTCTCTCTCTCTCTCTCTCTCTCTGTGTGTGTGTGTGTGTGATACAAGCTCACCTTTCTCTCTGTCTCTTACACGCCCTCTGAGATGGATTTTCTGTCCCAGTAACTAGTAACACAGTAACTTGTAAATTTTATATATACACAGTTATAAAATGCCGCTGTCCCTCCACACACTGGAGTGTACTGAGGGAGGGGTCTGTGTTAATATTTCATGTCATATTATCTATAGAGTTGTTTTGTTGAATAAAGCAGCTAAGAAAACAGAATTCCCTGCTGAACAAAAAAAAAACAAAACCACAACAGTTAGCGCCAACACAGGAAATGAATGTAAAAGGCTTGTTATGAGCATCGTAACATTCAGCAGCTGACAGGCTGAGCCACCGTTAAACTCACTGCACCTCGAGCTGTGATGAATCAGTCAGCAAACAAAACATCACGCACCTTACTACTGACAAGCTAACGTTAGCTCGTCGCCTCAGAGTGGGCCACTGGGTGACTCTTCACATCCCAGACAGTGACCGGGAGACTGGGGATGATGGGAGTTGTAGCACAGGTACAGCAAAGCTCTTCACCAGCGGCAAACTGTAAAACTAGCACCG